TGCTGGGCACCCTTCACCACACACTCATTACCACTACATGCTGGGCACCCTTCACCACACACTACAGTTCCGTACTAGGGCCTAGCATGGCCTGGTGGCTAGGGTGCTTGACTCACGATCTACGAATCATAGGTTCGAATCCCTTCACTCAACATGCCCACTCTTTCAGGCGTGGGGGTGTTATAAAGTTACGGTCAATTCCAATTTCCATGGGTAAAATAGTAACCCAAGATTTGACGGAGAGTGATGTTGACTAGTTACCTTCTCTTTAGCTAGTTTATCACTTCGAAATTAGGGATGGCTAGCACAGATAGCCCTGGAGTAGTTTTGCGCGAAATTCAACAAATAAACAAATAGAAATATAAATAATTGATCTAAGTAAATACGTAAAGCATAAAACCTCAACTTAACGTATATTATTTAAATATGTAGAAAACTTACCTTGAATCTGAACGTGACTAAATATACAGAACATAAATCCGAGTTTTGAGAGTAACTTCTTATATACAATTTTAAATAAGTGGTAGAGTCACTAGATATGTAGTGTATGAATACTAGTTCTGAGAGTAGTTCCATATATATAACTGGATAACTTATATCTGAATTTAAGGAGTAATTAAGTATCCCAGTTCAAGAGTAACTGAGTGTATAAAATGAAGCTCTGTTCTTAAAGTAATTTCATATATAATTTTTAGCCGAGGCATAGCGGCTCATAGAATGGCTCTGAGTCATAGCTCCGTCTCTTGACCGATTTGAGATCTATTTACAGCCTCGGCTATTGAGGATTCCCTCTTGTTAGATATGTACAGCACTGAGGGGGATTCTGAAAAATAACTAAATAATATGGGCAATTTTTTTGTATTGTAGTATTTATTTAAATTTTCATTACCTGATTATTATTCGGTCCTTATTTTCACTCAAATGAGGTAAATGTTGACCCTAAAAAATGCAAAGAAAGAAAAAAAAATGCTAACCCTTTTATCGTATCACACAGCTTTACATCTATTTCAAGTTATAGTTTATCGATATTCTTTATTGCACGCATGCGCAAAGTTAGCCTGGAAGATTTCAAGTAAATTCTTTTACCATTATATTCACACGTGTTATAACACTTCCCCTGTTTATCTTATTCATGGGTCATGTTTTCCAGTGTTCTTGATTTAATATCATCAGAGTCTTCTTTAGTTCCTTTATTAATACAAAAACAATAATTATTTCTGAATCGATCAAATTTCATGCTCAAGTATACTTTTCGGTAGGAAGACTGCACGTTCACGGATTTTCATTTACGTCACGACACCGCTACGCGAATAAACTTGAGTACGTTTTATCGAACTCCTAAAACCTAGCTTCGAAAAGAAAAAAACGATGATTCCTGGAGGCGAGAATCTCAATGGCTTTTGATCGTGCCAACCTTCTTGCGTTGTAACCCTGTCAATGAATTTGTATATTCTATTTTCCTAGCCCTTAATGAATGATAAGCTACACGAGGGTTATCTGCACTAGCCGTCCTTAATTTAGCAGTGAAAGACCAGAGAGAAGGCAGCTAGTCATCACCACCTACCGCCAAATTATAAACTGTTTGGATTATATGACATCCAACCATATACATGAGCCAATTAATCTTAGGTCTGGCATTGCAAAGTGGTTAGGGTGCTTGACTTGCAATCTGAGGGTCGCGGGTTCGAATCCCCGTGACACCAAACATACTCGCCCTTTCAGCCGTGGGGGCGTTATAATGTGACGGTCAATCCCACTATTCGTTGGTAAAAGAGTAGCCCAAGAGTTGGCGGTGGTTGATGATGACTAGCTTCCTTCCCTCTAGTCTTACACTGTTAAATTAGGGACGGTTAGCGCAGATAGCCGTCGTGTAGCTTTGCGCGAAATTCAAAAACAAACAAACGACGCTACAAATCGGGCTTCGATACCCGTGGTGGGCTGAACACGTGTAGATTTGTGCTTATCAAAAAATAAAAGTAAATAATTTTGGATTACCCAATTGGGGTTTGACCAACTTATCTTCCAACAGATACAAGGAATTCCGGGTGGGGGTATCCTCAGCCCACAGGTAACAGAACTGTATTTATTAGGACTAACATTTTTGTTACATTACAGACGTCACTAGGAACGACTACAATAAAGTTCTGTACATCAGTTGCGCTTGTAGATATGTACAGGGTGTCCATAAAGTCTAGAATCAATATAAACATTTTTTATTTAAAGACATAATTACAATATCTGTTCAAAATGGCCACCGCCAAGTTCAAAACGTGTTTGTAAACGATATAGCATGATTGAGATATTGGATTTCTTTCCGGATGTTTTTGTTATTGAACTCCACAGCTTTTTCTCCCCGTGTCCATCCTTGACGTCCACACAACAGGATAATTTCAACACGCTCTTGTAAGCTTAACGACATGATTATTACGTATGGGCAACACAAACCTGCAACGAAAAAACAAAACGTAAAATTAATAAAAAATTGTTTCAAATGAAATAAATTTACATTGATTTCAAACTTTATGGACACCCTATATATTTTTCTCTCTTAGTTACTACTGGAAATGGATAATATACAACTGTAATGCTACAACAACTATAACAAAACAACGTAAAATTAATAAAAATATGTTTCAAATAAAATAAGTTTACATTGATTTCAGACTTTATGAACACCCTGTAGATGACGTTTTTATTTGTTTGTTTGTTT